GCTTCATTTTGAAATGAAGAAAAGAATTCTTATATTCTGATTCTGCTGCTTTTAACGTACAAAGCTGTTGGTTTTTCCCCTGGGACAACCAAAAGGCATTTAAAGAAGAATCAGAGAAAACTGAAAAAATTTGAAGTTGAGTAAGAATAATTTTTCAGACTGGTTTCTTCATACAGTGCATGCAGCCTCACGTATGTACCATTTACTTTTCAGGAAATGCTTGATATAATGAAAGCAATATATGATATGATGGGTAAATGCACATATCCTGTCCTCAAAGAAGATGCTCCTAGACAACACGTTGAAACATTTTTCCAGGTAGGAATGCAAACAGAAGTCAAATAGAAAGAGAAAATTAAGAATAAATTTCCTGATGTTTGCAAAGTGTCATGATGATTCAAAAGAATGAGAAAGAAAAGAATTTTTACTGAAAGGGACAAAACAGTAGAATATTTATCATCATACTAATTCAGTAATTGGGTTTTGAGTTTATTATAATACTGATAACATTTATTGAACATTCACTAAATCCTAGATAGAACACTAAGTCTATTTGTCACATTATACCTTTGCTTTGTGTGTTCATTCAATTCTTACAAGAATCCCATGAGGTCATAAATCCTTATTAGCCCCATTTTACAGACAAGAAAAATCAAGGCTCTGAAAGTTTCAGCAAATTGCCTTAGCTCCAGCATAGCTGGGGGCAGAGTGATTCTAGACCTTCACCACATTCTATTGGAAAGGGAACAGCCTAAAGCAGTTGGCTAAATGATTCTTATTGATAAACTTGTAGTTGATGCTCAGAAGCAGTTCCCCATAAGAGAGGTAGTTGGGTTTTCCTTAATTTCAGCTCATTAAGTTCAGGTGTGAGGGTATCAAGGGCTAAGTCTAAATAAAGTTTTTTGTTCTTTTCTTCCTGAACAGAAAATGGACAAAAATAAAGATGGAGTTGTTACTATAGATGAGTTCATTGAAAGTTGCCAAAAAGTAAGTAATGATAGTAAAGAACTACCCCTTTTGCTTTCACAATAGCTTGACTAAGTATTGCAGTCATGAACTGAGCAAAATAAAGATCCTATGCCTAAACTTACCACTCCTAGCAGCTGAGAGATAAGCTTATGGGTTTGAAAACAATCACCAATTGACGCATTCCATTAATCAACATTTATAGAGCGGCTACCCCGAGGTAGGTATGCGGAAAGCCCACAAAGTTGCACAGGTACTGCTTTTGTTCCCAAAATCCTTTAGAGAGTATCCATCACTGAGGGTAGGTCACTGAGGGTAGCATTTGAATTGTTCTTTCCTCAGACTTAGCATATGACATGTGTATGTCTGGTACAGCCAATATATATTCCAATAAAGCCAAGTAGGCATCACAGGCCGCACGAGCATCTGATTACTAGAGAAACACATTGTGTTAATGTATGTGAATGAGAAATGGCTTTTTGGCTAAACCAGTAGTGACTTTTAGTCACAAAGAATAAGGTACAGAAAATTCTGAGGAAAAATCAGGTAACTTCACCTTCTGCTGGGAGACCAGTTTTAGCTTACCTAGAATGATTTGACTTGATGTGTGGGTAGAACCACAATTAAGAAATGCTCAAATAGATATGCAGACCAAGATGGTTGGTGCTTAGCTTTTCTCTTTATTTTCATATTGATCCACCTTCCTTTCCTGATGTCTGCTTGTTTCTTAACTCGTATTTCTATTTGGTGGGCCATTAAGTGGTGACATCAGCCTGCTTAATGGTGATGTTACCTGACTTCTAGCCTTGGCGTCCTCCTTAGTTCAGCTACCGTTTACCATTACTATAACCTACTCCCTGAGTGCCACTCACATACAATCTCCAAGTGCCTCCATAATGCCGAAGTCCTTGGAAACAAAGGAACAGGCTGAACTGAATACAGCCATTGGGTAATGGTTTCTCCCAAACAATCCCTTCTCTGGCATTGAGACCTTTCATTTTTAAAGGCTCCTGAGGGCCACACAGGTTTAGCTCTAACAGACACAGAAAGAGTGATGTAATTACTGCAAACATGGCTACAAGCCCCAAACTCTAATCCTCATGAATCCTTACACATAACCTCTTAGCTCACACATAAACCCTGTTTCCTTCTACATGGACATGTTTCTGTGATTTGGCCTGTGATCTTCCTGGAACACCAAAAACCAAAATTTGCATTTGCCTCTGTGCCTTTCTAGCTTCCATTCTGGCTTCTAATTGGAGAACTATCCTCTACTCACACCAAGTAGTATTTAAATAAAGTGTTTAAAGCCCAGTAGATTCAACAAAACATAAAATGGGCTCTCCGTGGTAATCTATGCGGTAAATGCATAGACTAGTATTTACTTTTGCACTTAGTATTTGAGCTTTTGGTATAGGCCGTTGGCTGGGAGGAGGCAGTATTCAGAGGCAAGGTAGCACACTCTTCCTTGCAAACATGCTGAATTTAATCCTGCTGTGCTTCCTTACAGGATGAAAACATAATGCGCTCCATGCAGCTCTTTGAAAATGTGATTTAACTTGTCAAATATACATCCTCACACAGACAAATGTGAACTATTCTTCCGCACTTAAAGTTGGAGCTCTCACTTTTAGCATAGATTGCTCAGCTTTACACTGAGGCATATTATGCAAACAAGCTTTGTTTTAACATAAAGCAATCCCCAAAAGGTTTGAGTTTTCCAGTTTTAAATTCACATCCTTTTCATAATACAACTGAGTTCATGGGATGTTCTAAGTCGTCTCATACCCTGTGAATATTGAAAAGTAAGAGAATTTGGCATATAGTTTTATTGATTCTTTAGCCATGGGATTGAGCTTTCACATTATCAGTGATTTAAAAATGCCAGTGTTTTTTGCTACTCATTTATATGTATTCAGCCCCAGGATTTTAAATCGTTTTCTAAAATACTGACATCCGTATTTAATTTCCAGTAATTAATTTTCATGTTCATATGCTGTAATTCCATTTATATACTTTAAGTAAACAGGATCACTCAGATCAAAAAAAGGCAAACATATAGTCCCAGTTTCTATAGATTTGCTGCTTTCTGTTAAAGACATTCATTTATCTAGCATTTTTTATAACATGAAACAAATGAATCACCAGATGTCAGCATATGCCTAATAAAGCTTATTTAATAAGCACTTAATTTTTCATAATTCATATGACAGCCAAGGCCTACATGATGTATATCATTTTGGATTTGTTCAATCACACAGGTTGACTGTTTTCTGTTGTGTCATTAAGTGGAAGCCCAGGAAGGTGTGAAACAAAGCAAGGGTGCTCCTAGGCATGTGCAAAGGGACAAGGTCATTTGTCCCCCTGTGTACCATAATAATGGTCAACAAGCAATTCTTGACAGCATTGAGGGCCTATTCCATCCCCTTGCTCCTGACTCCCTTATGGCACATTTATATTACATGCCATTCAGGGACCAAGAAACCTTGACTTCTCCAACACCTACTAGGAATAAACACCGAGTGGTATTACTCACTTTGAAAGTGCCAGTGATCCCATTATGTTGAGAACTACAATACATAAATTTCATAGAAAATGAATATAAAACTAAGCAACACATTTGGATTGTCTTATGATTTAGCTCATCATATAACTCCAATAATTCAGATTATTTTTAATGATTGTAAGCCAAAATTGTAAAGTTGCCATTACTACAGGATATACACATCTTCCCTGTTGTGCAGAAATATCACAAGGACCAAGAGGATACAGGAGGAGGAAATTTGCAACTGTCCTTGCAACACTAAATCAGGTATCATCTATTCTGGTGTAGACATAGGATGTTGAAAGCTGCCCTGCTATCACCAGTGTAGACATTAAGAGTAGTACAATACATGTACACTGAAACTGGCCATCACGTGTTTGTGTAAACTTAATGTGCACATTTTGTATTTCAAAAAGAAAAAATAAAAGCAAATGAAATGTTTATAACTCTACTGTCTATGTCAGAGGTCTTTATTCCAACAAATTTTTTTATTATTAGATTAAAACTGCTATGTTTTCCTTACGGCATTTTCTAGGTCGTCGCTATCTTTGTCTTTAGGTGGCACTCAGTGCACTGAAGAAAAGTAAAAAGGAAGGTCAGTGAGCAGGCAGATGTTTTGGCGAGTATCACCTGAGGCTGTGCTAAGCAGAGAGCTGAGGAAAGTGTCCACCAGGCGAGAACTAGGAAGGCCCAAAGTTCTGAGGGAGGGTCAGCATTTCTACATTTCTACAATTTTCAACTCCCCAGAAATTACTTGTGTTCTTTAAATTAAAGCTATGAGACTGTATCTGAATGAGAAATGCAAAGAGGTCACTCCAGGTGTGCGAGAGACAGAACAGAGAAAGGGTGTTGCTCTCCAGTGCTTCTGGGATGTAATAGTGCCACATCAGATTGCTAATCTCCTATTGAAAAGAGTGACTGCCAATTTCCAGCGCTTCAAAACCATCCACCGCGTTGGACCTGGTGTGGCTACTCAGGTCCCTCTGGGTCCCTCTTCTTACCCTTAGGATGGATGATGTGATTCTTGTTTTCTGTTTATCTTCCTGTACTTTCTTACAGAATGATCCAGAGTTAGCTTATACTACATCACCACCAAGAACTATGCCTGTAAATTATGTTTTGAAAGATTCTTAATTGAATTGTAAAACATAAGCAACCACAAAATTACTAAATACATGTGAGTTTTAAGATTTTAATTTCAGAATATGTTCATGTCTGAATATCTTTAGTTATTTTCAGACTATGAAATATAAAAAAATATCATTTACTTACAAACAATTAACACCTAAAGTTTAGGTAGTTTTAATGAGTTGTAATAAACAACATACTTGTAAGAGAATTTACACATTAAAAAATTTTTTTAAGCTAGAATACTCCGGAAAGAAACTTTCCTGAGCACTTTACATTATAAAATACATATTTACAAACAATAATTGAGAGTGAATTCATAAATATTTGTCCACTGTTCGAAATTACTGTAGCCTTTAAAACCCAAGAAATAGCAGAATGTCTAAAAAAAAAGTGCAGAGCTACAAATCGATTGCAAAAGGTATGTTATAAATAAAAGTCACCAAAAAATAAATATAAACGTATCTGGCATAAACCCAACTGTTGCTGTTCACCCAAACCATGAAAGTATGAAAGTAAACCCCACAGAATTGTACTATTGTAGAACTTCTTAAATAGATTTCATGATTAACCACTTTTTTGTTAATGAATAACTTTAACTATGATTCAGTGGAATTGTGTATACCCAACTTCAACTCATACATATGAATGGTGGCTCTGATTTACAAAAGAATAAAATGAAGTTGAGTCTGAAAAGGTCCCATACGTGCACATGGTCAGCATTTAATACTTGTCACCAGGTAGTAAGATTTTTGCTGGCTCTATTCTCAACCGCTTATGGAGCAGTATGTTGGGATTTTAGATTTGATGATGATTAGGCTTCCCTGTCAAAAGAAAAACATTTAGCTTCATTAGCATCTTGCAGGGTTACCCTAATAAGTATTAAATTGAATGAACATGCCTAAAAAAGTGTTTAAAACTCAAACAAAATGGGAAAAGAGCAAGATGATGGAATGAGAAATTGGACTTTTTTCTGAGTTACATAAAAATTTAGGTTTTCTCTGTTTATTAAAAATATTTAATTACTTAAGTAGAAAGGAACCAGACTTCCAGGACTTGAATCCAGCTTCTGCCAGACACCTCACAGTGAACTCTGGGGCTAATTACTTCCCTGAGCCTCAGTATCTAGATATTTAAAGGGCAATAACAAAATCTACTGAGGTTGTAGTGAAGGTTCAATGAGTTTAATGTCTGGTATGTAATAAGTTCCCACGTGGTCCATAAATACTTGGTGGGTGGCGGGTGTAGGTATGTAGCTTTCCAAGACAATATCATTTAGAAAGCAAATTAAATGAGGCTAAGAATGAACTGTTTTAAGACAGGTAGTAAACTGATTATTTAAAAAAATGAGATTATGCTTGTATAACCGTTATTTTTGTTTTCCTGGAAGTTGAGTCTTTCCATCACTGTGATATACACAAGCCCTAAGAAATGAGAAACTGCAGTACTGAGGAACTTTTTAAAAAACTCTTCTCTAATAGGTAAAGAAAGAGAAAGTAGGGAATGAAGGGCATTCATTAACATCATGAAGGACTACAAAAGCAAGCAAAACTGTCAGCCAAGGGAAAGTCTTTCATCAATTAGTACTAAATTATTATTGAAATACTATATGTAGGACATTAGGAGGAAAACAAGATAAGTCTGAAGGAATAAACAATACTTAATAGCCCTTAGAACTTCAAAATGTTTTTTTGCTCTGTGTTAGCGTGATTGAATACAAGTAAAATTGTGGGGCAGTAAGAGGTACTCCTTGCTAGGGCTCTGGACTGGTCAACCACACGCTCCTCCGTATTCCCCCTCCCAATCTTAGTGTGCTGAGTCTGTTTACTCACAAACTATCCCCTTCCCCATACAGCCCTCCCCATACTTGAGATCTAACCTGCAGGGCGTACCCCTTCTCACCTGCCCCACTCCCCATACCAGGCTACAGACGGGTGAAAATCACCTGGGGACTTTCAGATTGAAAATCTATTTTGCATCTGTTTACTCACATTCAACAGGGGAGGGAAGGGCAAATTGTTTTGCATTCCAATTCTCAGAAGAGCAAGCACACTTGCAGGCAAGAAAATTTCCTATCTGCCGAGGAGGGACACCGGATTGGCTGGGGGATGTTTTGCACATCTTAATAAGGTGTCTGAATGCTAATCCTCTGCCAGGACCCACACACAACAAAGTTCTTTCGTTAGGAGCTTAGGGACTTAATTCATCCTCATAAACTTTATTCTAGTTTCATCATAGGTATTCATCAAGGAAAGAATGTAATCAATTAAAAAAGTCATTGAAATCAGTCAAATTAGGTAATTCAGGCAAAGCATTAAACTAAAACTTCCGCCATTTTAAAATTGTGTACTATCACACACAAACTCTCTTTATAATTTTTAATACCTTCAAGAAGTACCTAGAATGAAACTAAGTTTTACTTTGTTTACCTTGTTAAGATAATCACATACAACTGTATCATTAAGCTCTGATTAAATATGATCTGCAAAATAAAATGGGCTTACTTCTTTATGGAAATATTTCTAAGCCTAGATGATCTGAACACTTCTTTCAAATGATGAAAAGTCAATTAATTTAGTTATCTGACACCTGACTGAAGCCCCCCCCCCGCATTCCTGTATCTTCTTGCACATTCTTGGAAGTTAGAATCTTCAGCTGAATCATTTCTGTCTGTCTGTGGGTGTGCACATACGTGTGTTGAAGAACATGTGCGCTTTCAGACATAGTATCGCAGCTATCTGGAAATCTTACTTCAATCTTCAGTTATGGGCAAATTGTAAATCTCTTAGACAGAAAAGTTCGCAAATGAAAGAAAAAAGCAGTCTCTCTTCAGGGAGCTCTCTATCTTAAAATACTTTTGTTTTCTCAACATTCCAACAATCTAGGCAAAAATATATAAAATAAACAAAATAAAGGAAAAAAACTATATAGCTGCACCACAAGGAGTGTCATACAGTAAACAGTGAAAGTGTACAGGCCCTGTATTTACACAACCTGGGTTGGAATTCCAGTGCTTAAAACCTGTGTGCCTAAGCAAGACAGGAACTCTGCGTTCTAAAATGAAAATAGTACTATCAACTCTGCATGGTTACTTGTGGATGAAATGAGATAATGTAAGTTAAAAGTCAATTTTGTAATATGACTACAAGTAAGAAAAAGTTATGACTTAAAGAACAGTGCTCCACTTACACTTCCACCATGTTGCTCTAGCTTTTGTAACGCGCTGGTGATTGGCTCTTTGAATTTCTTATCTCTCAGTCTCTTGGACAGCTTTTAAAATAAGATTGGGGAAGTGAAATGATTTGAAAAAAAAGAATAGTCATCATAGGCATAAGCAAAATGTCGCTAAAAAGTATGCTAACTAGAAATAATGCCATTGAGTCTTTACACACATAAACATAACTGAATTTGTTTTAGATTTCCAGACTTGTTTTAGGAGATACCTCACTGAAATTTATATATAATAGGCACCACTAGATTTGTGAAAAGAAAATCAATTTACATTATATCAAATACCAATTCTATAAAATCTGTTACAGCGTGGTATTCAGAGTAAGTTGTCTCTGAAATTGCATACTTTTCCATTTTGTAATTTGCAAGAGCATTTGAAGGATCACAATAAAAAACTAAGCCTTTAAAACACAGGTGTTTCCTATAGTAAAAAAGGGAAGAGACCGTTTACATGAATAATCATTACAGTGACAGGAAGAGGAACCAGACTAGAATCCAGAAGACCATCTGTTCGTAGATGTGCCCTGAATGGGCCTCAGCCAAAGAGTTCGTGGAACTTCGACGGAAACGGAGAGAGCACAAGGTGAGTGAGGACGGCCCCCCAGGAGCAGAGAAGGAAATAACCTGAACAGTGTTCCCCCACCCAATGCCTGCATTACGCATCCAAAGACCTCAACATTTCAGCCTGGAACAGGATTTGCTCATGGTTCCACTTCCAGGGAATACAAACAAAGTCCAGGCAGGAATTAGTCATTCATCAAACTGTTTAAAGGCCCTGTCCGAGACTTGGCTTCTGGTTCTTTCTTCTCAGGTATGGAAGTAATCCAAGAGTACTTCACACCACTGAGCAGGTCACTGAAGGTTTGGGAGGGGCAGAAGAGATTCCAAAAGATAAAAATGTGAGAAAAGTAACTCTAATGGAGAGGACACTCTAAAGGAGAGGACAGACAAAACAGGGTTTATCAATGCCCTGGGGATGGACAAGAGAAAGTGCCTTTTACAGATCTTAAGCTTGCTTTCTTCAAACCGTGCTACCCTGGAGCAGGAGCTTACAGGCTGAAGCACCACTTTCAGGATCACCTGACACACTCATTAGGAAAATACAGATTCTTGGGTCCCAGCCCCCACTCATTTAACCAGAATCTCAGGGCAATGGCCCAGGTTCTGCATTTTTAACAAGATTCTTGGAGTTGAAGTTCAGAAAGGATATGATTTATTTTGCATATGAAGACAATGAGTTGTAAATAGGCTCAGTAACTGGTTTTGAAATTCTTTTTCTAGAAGAAGAAACCCTTTCTTCAAGTAAGTATCTAGGCAGAATTCTATAAAACAGATGAAGATAGAGGCTTTTTGGCTAAAGAGGGTGGCAAGGGGGCTGGGGATCAGTGAGGTAAGCAGAGAGCACTACAGCACCTGAGGAGCGCCTGCTCCAGTGTGTGCATCAGAGCGCGCACGCGCACACACACGCACGCGCACACACACACACACACACACACACACACACAGTTTAGGTGGTAATCGAGTCTTTTCTCTCTGCCATGGTGGGTGGGACTGGCAGGTTGTTCAGGAAGCAAAACCTCTGATCCTCACTGAACTTTTTGTTTGGCGAAAGATTCAGTGTGAGTCCATTCCCTCCATATCACATCCCCTTCACTTCATGCAACTTTCTTAGTGGACATCCTTGCTACTTACTTCTCCCCCAAAACAAAAACCAATCTCCTCAAAGGCAGACAGTGTCTCTGTTTTTGTTCAGCTTTATATTCCCAGTGCCTAGCACAATACCTGGCACAAAATGGGAGGGCAGAGAGTGACACACTTCTGTTAGTGCTGAATGTCTGAATGAAGCAGTCAGTCTCAAACAAGTCATTTCATATATTAGTGTGAAATTCTTATAGTCAACCACAACTCACTGACCTGAAGGTTGTAAGCAAATATCTGCCACAATTTTCTTTTTTCTGTCCTAAGACTTCCTGCATGCCAAGGTTTGAGAGTCTAATCTCACTATGTCTTCTCCCCATCAGACATCAGATAAATCAGAATTTATCATCTACCATTCCAAACCTCAACACAGCAACTGGGATAGATTCACCACCACCAGCACCGCTTTCTATAGTCATAGCCAAGTGGTTCCTGAGATGTATCAGTGTCTCTGCAGAGACGAAGTTAAAAATACACTTCAAGGATCTCTCTGCTGGAAGGGTCCAAGAAAAAATAGTGGATCTATGATCAAATGCATGCTTCCACTCTGAACAACAGGATATACATGCAGAGAAATCCAGCCAGGCCTTTAATTTGTGTGTGTGGTATTGGTAGGTGTGGTAAAAGATTAGCTTTGTCTAAAGAAAGGTTTGGTCCTTGCCCCTAGCTCCTGGATAGAAACCTCTAAGCCCTTGGAATGTCCTGCCAGATATGAGTGTCTTGTTTTCCCTGGGGACTTTAGGCCATACCAGCTGGTCCAAGCTAACAGGATGCATGGTGGGGCTGTGAGCCACAGGGTATCAGCTGTTTCTGGAGAGGCTGGAGAGCAAGGTCAGCCATGTAGGCAGGCAGTCATGCCTGTGCAGCAGACCCCTAATAAGAACCCTAGACGCCAAGACTCACGTAAGCTTCCCTAGTTGGCACTACCCTATGCGTGTCGCCACGCATCATTCCTGGAAAAGGTTTGCTACTCCACTGGGTGAGGACAACTGGGAGCTCCACACCTGGTCTCCCCCAGGCCCACTCTGGGTACCTCCTCCCTCTGATTTTCATCAATATCCTTTCACTATAATAAACTGTAACCATGAGTAACAGCTTTCCTGAGTTCTGTGAGTCCTTCTGGTAAATTGTTCAACCTAAGGGCAGTCTTGGGGATCTCCTGAACTGCACAGTATCCCAGTGAATATTTGTGATAAGGATTAAACTGCACATAACAGGGAAAAGTCTTATTGTGAATGCTATTTATAGACTCATTAAAAAACTTACAATAAAGAAGATGTGGTACATAAACACAATGGAATATTGTTCAGTCATAAGAAGAAAACAAATTCTACCATTTGCAACAACATGGATGGAGCTAGAGGGTATTATGTTCAGTGAAATAAGCCAGGCAGAGAAAGACAAGTACCAAATGATATACTCATCTGTGGAGCATAACAACAAAGCAAAACTGAAGGAACAAAACAGATGCAGACTCACAGAACCAAGAATGGACTAGTGGTTAACAAAGGGAAAGGCAGTGGGGAGGGTGGAGAAAGGGGATTAAGGGGTATTATGATTAGCACACATCATATAGGGGGGGGTCACAGGGAAGGCAGTACAACACAGAGAAGAAAAGTAGTAACTCTATAGCACCTTACTACGGTGATGGACAGTGACTGCAATGGGGTGTGTGGGAGGACTTGATAACATGGATGAATGTAGTAACCACAATGTCGCTCAAGTGAAACCTGAGCATAAGATTCTATATCAATGATACCTTAATTAAAAAGAAAAGTAGAAAAAAACTTACAATGAAAGCCAAAGAAAAAAGAAAAAGATAAAAAACATAGTTGTGGCAGTATATAGTTACACAGGAGGGTATAAACTCTCCTTACAATTCATAGCTAATCAACATGGGCATTCTTACAATGAAAGCCAAAGAAAAAAGAAAAAGATAAAAAACATAGTTGTGGCAGTATATAGTTACACAGGAGGGTATAAACTCTCCTTACAATTCATAGCTAATCAACATGGGCATTAAACCATTACACTGTTCATTAACTTTTGTCCTTCAATTGATGCTTATGTTTCATTATAACCTTAAATTTTGGTCATGACGGTGTTTTCCATTAAAAAAATTAAAGAGAATACTGTCTGTTAGTAAAATATTTTATGAACTATTAGTTCTGATCTCTATTATTTTTTGGTTAGGATGATGAGTTTTTTTGAAGGTTTTGAATTATTTAATGATTAATTTGAAGCCATGAGATCATGAAGGATACAGATAGTATATTATATATACAGACAACCACTCTCTAATCTTTACAGTACTTACACTTGTAAGCAGATGTTTCAGGTGGTCATTTAGAGAAGGACCAACAATGACACTTAACTGCACCAGAGCGTTCAGTCCTCTTTCAAACACTTCATCATCCACGTGGACCTGAGGCGGGTTGGTGGGGCAAGGGTGTCATGACAGGCAGGCAAAGAGGAGAAAAAAGAAGGGTGGGTGGTTTAAGAGAAAGGGCAAGCAGGTATAGAAAACAGTAAGAGTCAACATTTCAAAACTAGAGGATAATTCACCAAGCCTAGATTTTTAAAAAATAACCTTTAATGCAGGACATCTTAAAGCAAAAAACAAATTGACTTAACTGAAACATTAGCTCAAATATATTATCACAGAAAGACTGATTTGAGGCTCATGTCTTCCCCTAATTACTCAAAATGACCTTTCACCCTCAGCACAACCTCTCAAGGTGTATTCAAGAAAGTAATCAACTGGCCCTGAATAACAATGGTCTAATTCTGCACACACATCAAACACACAGGTAAAGGACTAATTTGCATGTAATCTGGAGGGAAAAAAGACATACAATATTGTACATGTACCACAGGAAGTCCAAAGGAATAAAGGGTACCAGAGCTGCCTTTAGCACAGGGATCAGTCTAGGAAGCAGCGGCACAGCTTTTTCAGGAGCCCCTTGGACCAAAAGTAATTCTCTAAAGCCTTCCTTTGACACAAAGGTGTATGGATGTTTAGTTTCTCTCAGACCCTGCCAAAGACAAAAGACAAAGAATAAAAAATTAGATCTACTACTCATTTGGTTATGCTAGTAACAACAAAAAAAATAGAATCCTTGCTACTCTAAGTGAAAATCAAGTTTTATTATTACTGTCTTCCTAGTCGTGATATATCACATTCCAATAGTTACAATTTCAGTTAAACCCAGAAACTATGGAAGAAAGGATATGCAAGGGACAGGAAGAATCTCTACCTATAGGCGGGAAGGAAAAGAAAAAGGGAAGTAATAAGAAAAAAATGAAGAACAAAACGGAAAGAAATAAAGAAGAAAAAGAAAAGAAAGAAAGGTAGGAAGAAAATAGGGAAGGGGGAGGGAGAGAAGGAGAGGAGAGGTAAATAAAAAGAAATAAGGGAAAAAAAGAGAAACTAAACTCACAAGGATGCTAAAACAGTTTGTATTCACTCCCAAACACTGCCTGAAAGCACAGCAAATCAATGTAACCTGTGAGCACAGCCACCACCTCATGAGTGTATCATTATTAGATTCCCCCGCTACCTTTATAGTAATGTTTACAACTTACTTAATGTGTTCCCAAATTTTGTATTTCCTTCATACTTAAATATTTTATATTAAGGTATTTACAAGACAAATCTTTCTCTATGTTCAAAAAGCACTGTAAGATTTTAAATGTCATTTTTAACACTGGGATGTGAAATAAAAATATGAAAAAAGCCTGCCATTTCTCTAAGTCTTTCATCCCAAATGCATTAGAAGATATTAAATAGCTATCTTTTATGAGTCACCTAATCACTACGAGTCAAGATAAAAGAGCCATCTGACTTCTTTCAAAAACATAAAACAAGCAAAAGCAATACTCAGTTTGACTAATTATCTTGAATAAGTGTAACTGGCTGCAAAGTTATGCCTAAAAATACTGATTTTCAGCTAATTTGTCCTTTACACC